TACAATATTTTCAAAAAAATTTTTGTTGCCTTTGATCAGTCCTGAAATGATTAGACCAGATGTGGGAGAGAGAGTACTGTATATAAAATTCTAAGAAAAATAAAAATTCTAGTCTATAATTTAGAAATTTAAAATTTATGCTTTTTAAATAATGTAAAATAACATAATAAACTAAATAATCAATAGATTTGCAAATCTACAACGTAAATATAAAGTTAGGAATTTTAATTAATTAGGAAATTAATGTCATGTTTCTTGTATGTAAAATGATCAATGTAGTCTTTTAGTAATCATACCAAAGTTTATAAATAAATTGATAATGTAAATACTGTATTTAAGTTTTTTTTTTTTTCGTATAATTTGTATTTTATTTATGTATATTCTGCTTTTTGTTCTCTGTATTAATTCATGAATTGTAATTACTGTAGTTTGTGTATTGTTGTATGTATTCCCCGCATCATGGGTTTTCCCAGTATGTCTAAATAAATAAAATAAATAAATATTTAAGTTTTTAATAAATCATTTCTAAATTTTAATTAAACTTGTGTTATGCAAGTGTAGTTAGAATGATTTTTTTTTTTTTTACCTTTTGAAGTGTCAATTTTTGGATTGATATATGTTATACAGTAGAGTCCCAATTAATCAAGACATGTTTAAATGAGATTCTGCATTATCTGAAGTGTATTCAGTATATTCAGGAAGTGAAGTATATTCAGGAGTATTTTGTCAACAAAGATGAGAGAACATAATACAGTAATTTACTTCATGAATTCTTATGAAAATATGAATTTATAAAGAATTAAAGACATTTTAATTGTAATTATAAATTTATATTTGCTTTAATAAATAATTTTAAATAGAATTAAAATGTTTTATTGTATAATTTAAAAGTTATTAGGTTTAATAAGTTGGTCTAACCTAAAAATGGAATTCAGTATACAGGAATCCCCTGTTAATGCAAATCAGAAGAGGAACAAACAAGTATAGCTGAGTTCGCATTAACAGAGTTCTCTTTAAAGGGGTATTGCGTTTAAAAATCCATTTTTTTCCATTGTAGATCTGAAACAAGAAATTAATTATACTCATATTACAGTATTCAGAATAATTGGCTTTTCTGTTTAATATCTGAGAATAAATTGATCTGATTTACAGTCCAAGTTAACAATTAAAATTACATTATGGTATTCTTATTCTGTTAGGCCTACAGTTTTGTAAAGAAATTATCAATGGTAGTTTGTTTCTTCTCACATTTATAGCTACCACTTACATAATTACAAATGTAATCAAATGACTTAGTGAGATTATAATTCGTGTTCTCATTAGAAAATATGGCATTGAGCATTCCAACTGCTGCCATGGCTTGAGAGCATGAAGGGAGAGTCACCTTTTCTCCTTCATTGGAAACTTCTTCCCCAAATTCATTGCAGGTTCCTCTGGTCCCTTCTTCCACAGCAGTATCATCACTTCTTGCAACAAACTCATTAATTTAACTCAGACATAACTGGAGAATTATTCTAAGGTTTTTCACTAGAGCATAGTTTTTCCCTTTTTAGAATATTTCTTCAGATTCTTCAAGGCACATTTCCTCTTTAGCAGCATTTTTTCCCCACTTCAACAAGAACTTTTTTAAAGCAGTTTGCTATCACTTGGAGTGCTACTGAATCTCATGCCACTGTGGCGGTACGCCATGTTTTTGTAAATAGGGGTAGATATAAATTTTATTTTCTCCTAAATTCCTTTGTCTTTAACGTGTTTCTAGAACTTTCTAACCTATTCCTTTTCTGTGGGTGGGGGACGACCTTTGTCCAAGGACAAAGGGGAGAAGACAAAAGGGACATTAAGAAGCCCTGAGGCCNATTGAATAGACTAGTGACTAGTATAATGTTATTTGTTTAATTATTGTATGATATAACGAATAAAATATCTAATTATTCTTAATATAATGTTTTACTATATCACCCAGAAAATTGTTTTTTGCCCCTCAAAATATAAATTGTTACAAATCGCCCCCTCAACATGGAAAAACGCCCCCATTGAGAAACACTGATTTAAATGAAAATAAAATACATAACGTTATAATATATTAATGATTCTAATCTGTTTTAAAAATAAATTTTCATCTATAAAATTGACTATAATTTTGTCAAAAAGACAACTTACAGCATTAATTTTTAAGATACTGCTTCAAATTAAGTTCTAATTTTATGAACTTGATATTTTAGAATGGGATAATTGCAAACATACGATGAAGCAAAGATATAAGTTTAAATTTAATGCTATATAAAGGTTGCTATATTAAAAGTTTTACTTTTATTTTCCATTCTATAAAAATATAAATATATTAAAGCTAAACAATTGCCTGATTATATTGGGCTGCATTAATGTGTGGTTGTTTGTAACAAGAGATTTGTAAGTCCGCAAATAAATGTTACAAATAGTAACACAGGAATAAAAAACGTGTATGATTGAATATTCCTTTAATGCTCTCCGAACATAGTTCTTTTTTCTTATTTTGTTACAGAGATCCCAACTTAACAGGTTCCTTCACCCTATTATCCTCAGAGGCAGTAGCGTAGCAAGGGGGTGTATCATGCACTTGGCTCCTCTCTACAAGTGGCGCCCAAATGGTCTCCAAGACAAACTGTATGTGTTTCTGGAGGAGGGAGGGGGTGCCAATAAAGCGTCCTGCTCAGGGCGCTAGTTATGTTCACTACGTCACTGCTCACAGGGAATTGTGTTGCCTCCTATTCTCATACAAGTATATAATACATGAGCGCATAACATAAAACCTTGATAATCAACTTATCTAAAAACTATTAAAAAGTAATCTTATGTCTAACTTAAAACTAATATAATAAGGAAACAATTAGTCTTAGGAAAGTATAGAAAGTATAGAGAAATAGATAGAGAGTACCCAGGCCCACGTTGATAAATTGATATCTTAGGGGAAGTGCCCTTTCACAATCGTGGCCTTTTATTCTCCTTTACTGATTCAGCAATTCATTCTCGAGGGTCTGCGATTCTTTCAGTTCTCTCTAGTCCGTCGTGCTTTCTCCTCTTTAATCTTGGCAATCCTTTCCTATACCTGCCATCTTTTTCCTACCTCCTTCTTTTTGAGTCTCCCTCACTACTCTGTATATCTGTTCCTTTCTAGGTCCAGCCAAAACGTGTTCCCCTCTCTCCTTTCTTCTCGCCTCGGGCTATATTTTCTTTTGTCTGTTTCTACAAATTCGGGGAAGCACTAATACCCTACTTCTTTGTTTCACCCTTGGTTCTGAGAAGGGGTAATCCTCCCCCTGAAGTATTAATGGTCAATATGGAAAGTTCTCAAAGACAATAGAAAGAAAATAGAAAAATAGGAATGAAATAAGGAATTATGAACTACATACAAACTACAACATGGCTGACAGCCACAAATTCTACTAACTACTAATTAAATTTCAAGTAATTTGGCCTAGAGATAGGCATTAGGTGCTATATCTTGATAAATTTAATAATTAATTTAGAAGGTTCTAGAAAAAAGAATTGGCCCAAGGTGGAACTTGAACTTACAATTCTCACTACATGTTGTCATGAGAGGGCCAGATCTGATAGGTGTGCAGTCCATGCATGCGCACAGGTGGCCAACAGTGTACTTTAAAAATTAAAATTAAAATATAATTTTAATATAGTGGTCTGCAATGAAGTAGATTGATGTTTGCATGACAACTGATGATATAGCTGTGCAGTTTGTGGATATAAATAACTTCGAAGCATATATTTAGGTGTTTTGCATCAGAAAACTTAAAAAGTGCAATTAACAGATAATGGTGGATTCATCCATTGAACCAGAGAAAAATTTATCAGTGGGAATTCTATAACCACTACAATTATTTCTTGTTTTAAATCATATAAAAATCATAAAAACTTAGAGTTTGTAAACTTTTAAAGTTTGCAAACTCTAAGCTTTATTTATGTTAATGTCTTATGATTAAGTTTAAGGTTACACTTATGTAACTCATTGCAAGTGGTTGCATTAAATAACATAGGTATAGTACAGGGTTTTATGTTTATGCTTAATTTTCATTGTGAATGGGCTTTTATTTCCATACTGTTAATCTTAAAGCAATACTTATACCATTGTTTTAATTGTTAATGCAACCAAAAGAAAATTTAAATAAAGAAAGAGATGCACATGAACATTATAAAATATTCATATTTAAATTAATTTTTATATATAGATACATATAAATTTATATTGTATTTATATACTAAATAAGAAAAATTTCTTTAAATTAATTTCATTTTAATTTATAAATTCTATTTTATGGTGGTGCTAAAATATAACTTTGACGAAAGGCAGCTTAATTGAATGAATTTGATTTGAATTGCTATTTGAATGAATTTAAAATAATTATATATCAAAAATTTTTATGGATTTTTTACCCCTGTCAACTATATGAAACTCATAAAACATACCAGTAGGCTACCAAGGGTTGAGTTAGATTATGAATTTACTTGCAACCAGTGTTGATAGGGGTGGCAAAATATCTGAAACATGCAGGCAGCTAACAGTCCAAAACCAACCCTGGGTTATGATGTATATGTACAACAGAAATTTTTATTGGTTTTTATTGATTCCTATTGTTTTTTTAACAGGGTTGGAAAATTGATTTTAAAGTTTAAGTTTTGCCTCCTTTTGTATACTATTAGTATTTCTGGTCACTCACGGGTTTCTATTTTTTCAACTATCTAATTGTTATTTTAAATAGGGAAACTATATAAATAAATGAATAAAATATGTATATATATATTATTTATTTATTTATTTATTTATATACATTAATTTAGAATTATAATTGCAAATTAAACAAAAAAAATTAATCTTAAAATTTGTTACCGAAGAAAAACTTTGTCTAAAATATAGTAAAAAAAAAAAAGATAGTAGAACAATACTTATGTCTTGGACTAACAAATATATCATTGATTTTATAAAAAGTTAATGCACAAAAGTTTTTCAGATGGATGAACTAAGAATGGAATTGAATAAAAGAGATCAAGAAATTTTGGCAATGGGAGCAAAGATGAAAACATTAGAAGAACAGCATCATGATTATCAGAGGCATATAGCAGTTTTAAAAGAATCATTATGTGCAAAGGAAGAACATTATAATATGTTACAAGCTGATGCAAGTATTATTTTTATTTTAATCAAATACATTTTTTTTTTAATTGTCTTTGCACACATAAAACAAATAACTTATATAAAAACTAATTTATTAATAATAATATTTTTGTGGTTAAAATAGGTGGAAGAACTGAGACAACGATTAGAGGAAAAAAATAAATTAATTGAGAAAAAACAACAACAAACAATGACTTCATCTCAAGATAGGAATCGTCTTACTCAGGAAATACAGGAACTGAGAGATCATATGGACATCAAGGATAGAAAAATTAATGTTTTGCAAAGAAAGGTTAAATTTTTTATTATTATTTATTATATTATGAAAATATATCAAATATATACATATAAAATCTTATCTAAAAATTTTATGTGAAATTTAGTAATACAATAGACTCTCTCATATCTGAACTAATATGGGCAAGAGTGATCTGGATGTAAGAAAAATCCAGATAAAGGAATGTTATAATTTTTAAATAAGATTGCAACATTTGTGCCTAATGTATGTCTAAAAATGTTTATTTTGATTTTGAGGCTTATTTTTGAAAATTACAACTAATTTTGAAAGTATTGTGTTGTTTGTTTTGCTCTTCTCAATTCACTGATAAGCTGATACACATGCCAATGCCTCTTCATTATCAAATCATCAGTGTTTGATGCATTATGCTCTTAGGCCAGGAACACACATGCATAAAATTGTGTGGCAGAAAACTGAATCAGAAATCAGCTTTCAGTTCAGTTTCTGTTTTACGCTTTTATGGCAGAATACACACGTAAAAATTCTGGCCGAATAGGAAACGCCACTGTCACAAACAGCACTATATTTTATTAATTTTTTTCTCTCATATATCTATCCCTTTGTACCTTCCAGTTTTTCTCTGTTTCATCTGCTATAATATAGAAAATTTAAATTAATAGACTTGTATTCTGAATTCAAATAAAGAACATGTGATCTAAATACTAGGTCTATATATCAATTCTACTAGACCTACCTGCTATTTGAAATTTAGCACCTATAGCCATCCATAAACATTGTTTAAATATAGTGTCTTTATACATGACACTGATGTGGTTGAACGGATCCAATAAACTCCTCTATTTAATTTATTTTTGTCTTTTTGAGATTGTCACAATTGTAGGGTTAACTCTCATTGTCACCATTGTTAGAATAAAAACCATGTGTCTACTTTTACGTCACTCCAATAAAAAGACTTCTCTTTATTGGAGGAATTTTGGCATAAAAATTTTACTGCGTAAAAAGTAGAGACATGCTCTACTCTTTTTTCAGTTATGTTTCAGCCAAAATTTCAGAAAAATTTTTATGCTTCTGCTTTCTGTTTTATGCTAGATTTTATGCCGAATTTTACACATGTGTGTTCCTGGCCTTATACAAACTTTAATGCAAACTTAATAAAAAAAAATTTTTAATTATACTGTACACACTGCAGTATGAAAAGATACAATATTTTCAAAAAAATTTTTGTTGCCTTTGATCAGTCCTGAAATGATTAGACCAGATGTGGGAGAGAGAGTACTGTATATAAAATTCTAAGAAAAATAAAAATTCTAGTCTATAATTTAGAAATTTAAAATTTATGCTTTTTAAATAATGTAAAATAACATAATAAACTAAATAATCAATAGATTTGCAAATCTACAACGTAAATATAAAGTTAGGAATTTTAATTAATTAGGAAATTAATGTCATGTTTCTTGTATGTAAAATGATCAGTGTAGTCTTTTAGTAATCATACCAAAGTTTATAAATAAATTGATAATGTAAATACTGTATTTAAGTTTTTTTTTTTTTCGTATAATTTGTATTTTATTTATGTATATTCTGCTTTTTGTTCTCTGTATTAATTCATGAATTGTAATTACTGTAGTTTGTGTATTGTTGTATGTATTCCCCGCATCATGGGTTTTCCCACTATGTCTAAATAAATAAAATAAATAAATATTTAAGTTTTTAATAAATCATTTCTAAATTTTAATTAAACTTGTGTTATGCAAGTGTAGTTAGAATGATTTTTTTTTTTTTTACCTTTTGAAGTGTCAATTTTTGGATTGATATATGTTATACAGTAGAGTCCCAATTAATCAAGACATGTTTAAATGAGATTCTGCATTATCTGAAGTGTATTCAGTATATTCAGGAAGTGAAGTATATTCAGGAGTATTTTGTCAACAAAGATGAGAGAACATAATACAGTAATTTACTTCATGAATTCTTATGAAAATATGAATTTATAAAGAATTAAAGACATTTTAATTGTAATTATAAATTTATATTTGCTTTAATAAATAATTTTAAATAGAATTAAAATGTTTTATTGTATAATTTAAAAGTTATTAGGTTTAATAAGTTGGTCTAACCTAAAAATGGAATTCAGTATACAGGAATCCCCTGTTAATGCAAATCAGAAGAGGAACAAACAAGTATAGCTGAGTTCGCATTAACAGAGTTCTCTTTAAAGGGGTATTGCGTTTAAAACTCCATTTTTTTCCATTGTAGATCTGAAACAAGAAATTAATTATACTCATATTACAGTATTCAGAATAATTGGCTTTTCTGTTTAATATCTGAGAATAAATTGATCTGATTTACAGTCCAAGTTAACAATTAAAATTACATTATGGTATTCTTATTCTGTTAGGCCTACAGTTTTGTAAAGAAATTATCAATGGTAGTTTGTTTCTTCTCACATTTATAGCTACCACTTACATAATTACAAATGTAATCAAATGACTTAGTGAGATTATAATTCGTGTTCTCATTAGAAAATATGGCATTGAGCATTCCAACTGCTGCCATGGCTTGAGAGCATGAAGGGAGAGTCACCTTTGCTCCTTCATTGGAAACTTCTTCCCCAAATTCATTGCAGGTTCCTCTGGCCCCTTCTTCCACAGCAGTATCATCACTTCTTGCAACAAACTCATTAATTTAACTCAGACATAACTGGAGAATTATTCTAAGGTTTTTCACTAGAGCATAGTTTTTCCCTTTTTAGAATATTTCTTCAGATTCTTCAAGGCACATTTCCTCTTCAGCAGCATTTTTTTCCCCACTTCAACAAGAACTTTTTTAAAGCAGTTTGCTATCACTTGGAGTGCTACTGAATCTCATGCCACCACAACATAACTTATGCAATCCAAGGTAGTCCATTTCTTAATTTTTTCCACACCTTTGTAGTATCAGTCTCTTGCATTTAGCAGTCTTGAAACTCAAAATAGTGCTGCAATCCAACAGCTACAACCTTGATGAAATTCAGTCCTTTATTTACATGATGAGGGCAACAGCCTTCAAAAATTCAGCATGATCTTTAGCTTCAGTTGACACATTTTCCTCTCTAAGCACAGCAACCACTCACAAAAGATCACAGCAGTCATCCACTTGTTTTTACTAGCTATGTACTTGCAGGGCGAGTGTGAAACATGCTTCAAACAGCATAGTTTATCATACTTGCCAAAAACAAGCAGTGTTGACTTTTCACTTTCATCTGCATTGCAAGTCAGCAAAATGGTCACACTCTGTTTTGATTTCTTTTCTCCATGGCAAGTTTTTTCCTTTTGAAATAGAGGGATCTGTTTGGCTTGCAGTTAAAGAAAAGTCTTGTCTCATCACAATTAAAGATACTGCTTGATGAATATTCTCTGGCAATGGACTTGAAATGTTCTAGCTATGTTTCTGCTTTCTCCTTATCAAGAGCATTTTCTTCTTTATAGATTGTTAGCAAAACTATCACATTTCAATTCTGAAAGCAATAAAGCCAGTTGTTGGACACCTTGAAATCAACTCCCATCTCTTCAGTTTGTTGTTTCGCATATTCTTTTATCATAGCAATAGACACCACAGTATCATGCATCCTGCCCGCCAATACCACTGACTGGATGATAGTGTAGTTTTTAAGTATGATGGGAAGTATAGTTCTCATTTAAAACTGAGGAACATTAAAAGAAAAACAGTCATGGAAATTATTATAAACACTTGAAATATTTATGGAGTAAGGGCTACAGGGCAAACAGAGGTAGGAAAGATGAACTGTTTGCCTAAAATGCAAATAGTTAGCACATATATGAACAGTTTCATATACCTGCAGTTTCAGCTCTTGACACACACTTTTTCTGTCCTCTTTGCACGTAATCTTGGGCAATCTTACTGGAACATCAGGTGTTAAGAGGCTTGGCAGTGAAGCAGCATTACAGAGGGTTAAGGAGCCAAAGAAGTTTTTGGGTGAATTTTTTCATTCTCTTTTCTTCATATTATTTTGTCAATAGAATGCTGGAGTCTCAATTTTCACTTTGCACTATGAGTTACTAGGGATATCATATTAAGGGGGTGTCAAGAAAGTCCCTTAATGCCAGCCAGGGAGCAAAGAATCAGTTTGCCCTAACAAGGAGTTTGCATTAATGAGGTACTCATTAGTGGGGATTCCTGTATCTTGCATGTTATTAATGCAGTCAAATCCAGTTTATTTAATAATTTACCAATCATTTGTTGTTATCTAAATTCTTGATTATCTGAAGTACAGTACCATTGGTCCACATTATCTTGGATAATCAGGACTACTGTATTTCACATTCTCAATTTCACAAATATATAAGTAAATTTGATGTTTTCAAAATACTATAGCAATAAATAAAAAACAAAACAAAAGTTTAATATGTATTTAGTAGTTTATATATTCATATTTTAAGTAAAGATTCCTCAGAAGCTGGAACATCCTTATAACAAACAACAAATAAATTTTCTTACTTCTTTCCAGCAATAATTTTTATTACAACACAAATGTTTTCAGCCTCATTTAGGGACCTGCTTCAGGCTTTAAACTACATCAAACAGAAAACTGAGTGTTCCAAACTGTAATGTTCTATTATTTAAAATGATCAAATTTCCTTCTTCTCAATAACTGGAATGAACTATAAAGCACAACAACAAAACCTTTAACATTCATCAAGTTTCATTAAATTTTGTTACTGGATGTTAAAGGTTTTATTTAAAATGATGCTTACTTTTTAAATATTAAAAAGCAAACAAGAAATTAAACAGAATTCAAAAACAAAAATAAAAATTTTACAAGAAAATAAATGAAATTAAGTAAAACAGATATGTTACCAAACAAGACTAAAACAAATAATATTGTGCATTTGATGTAATAAAGTATGCATAGTTATTCAATCAACTGCTTTAAGTATAATTGTTGATGTTGCCTGACTGAAGGGGGTTGTCAATTAGCGACTGCCAGACTAGGGACAAAGTCTCATTTTCTTTATTAGTAATAAATTCTCTTTTGATTTTAGCACAGAAAATTTAAAGTGTTTGTAGGGTTCTTAACTTCTGGTCATCATATATCCTTCTTATAATTTTGGTCTCATCTCATGATGGTGACATCCTGATTACTGACATCCTGATTACTGACAAATAGCAAGGTGTGAGAATATGGGTGAGGGTCTGAGCCCTCTGATCATTAAGTTGGTAGAACTCGCTCACAGGGTCACTGGATGGCTTTAAATAGGAGGATCTTCAAATCGAACAAGTGGGGAGCACGGTGGGAAAGTCAATAAGGTGTCCCGGTTCCAAGCAATAGACAGGTAGACAGGTTTAATGAAACAAATAAAAGTTTAATATATTCTAAATCTAAGATATACATAAGGATACAAACAAAAGGATTAAAATATGGCGATAAACTAAAGATATTAGATCATACAACCACGATGTGACTATTCTATGTCTTATGCCACGTGGGCAGTCCTAATTTCTCAAATGTGGAGAGAGAGTTTACACATTTTTAACAAAATACCTCTAATCCTTATGGAGGTCGATGTTTTCCCTTTTCATGTGGTGAGTCATCGATGATAATGGTGAGGAAGAGGTCTGTTCTATGAGGCGTCTTGATATGTCCGTCAATATCCACTGGATATGGCAGGTGTATTGAACACTTTTATGTGAAGATGAACACTACTTTATGGGGACAAACACCTTTCCTTAGGACGACCGCCCGGAATTGTTGTTGTCTTGTTCTTTTATGCATTTAGCCTGGGAAAGTCAATCATGTGATTGTCAGTTGTTTAGAAATGAATGGTGCTTTTGCAGGTGCAGTTTGGTGATGACTTTCATTGATGTAATAGTATCACTTTCCTCTCCTTTCACAATTGGATGTTATCATTTTGCAACCAACTGTTAAGATGCTCATCTGTTTGTTGATAGTAAAGCTGTTATTCAATCCGTGTTCAGTGCAATGTTTTCTAACAATTGTGACGGATGTTAAATAAAAAAATTTTTTAAAAATGGATTTTACTATCCTTAACATCCTGGATCTCACAAAGGATAATATAAACATTAGCAGAGCCCTGTGGTAGACAATAGATTTAATAGAAGATTAGCATACATTGGTTCCACAAATAGATCATTAACTCAAAGATTAAAAGAACACTGTTATAATTTAATAAAAAAAAGATTTGTTACAGCCCTTGCTCAATGTGTTAGTGAGCATTTGATGTAATAAAGTATGCATACTTTATTATATCAAAATGCACAATATTGTTTGTTTTAGTTGTGTTTGGTAGCATATCTGTTTTAATTAATTTCATTTATTTCCTTGTATAATTTTTATTTTTGTTTTTGAATTCTGTTTAATTTTTTGCTTGTGTCTTAATATTTAAAAAAAAAAGCATCATTTTAAACAATAGAACATTACATTTTGGAACACTCAGTTTTTTTTTGTTTGATGTAGTTTAAAGCCTGAAGCAGGTCCCTAAATGAGGCTGAAAACATTGTAATAAAAATTATTGTTGGAAAGAAGTAAGGAAGATTCTTTCTTGTTTGTTTTAATCATTCTTTAGTTTTTCATTTAATAATTATTAATTATATTATTTAAGATTATAATATAATGCAATTTTTATTTAAAAAACATATATATATATATTCTTAATGCTCTTTAGTTTGTGTTATATTAAACTTATTTTGTTATGTACTTTTAACATTCAATGATATTTTTTACATTAATAAGCAATATTAATTTTAATTGCTTATTAATGTAAAAAATATTGAATGTAGAAACTTTTCATAAAATTTTATTATCATAAATTATAATTTAAAATTAACTTTTTTGATTTTAGATTGAAAATATGGAAGATTTATTGAAAGAAAAAGACAATCAAGTTGATATGGCAAGAGCTCGCTTGAGTGCTATGCAAGCCCATCACTCATCCTCCGAGGGTGCGCTCTCCAGCTTGGAAGAGGCAATCAGTGACAAAGAGAAGCAGATATCCCAGTTAAGAGATCAAAGGGATCGTGCAGAGCAAGAACGAAATGAAGAAAGAGATCTGCATGAAAGAGAAATTGCCGAATACAAGATGAAGATGCACGCCCTCGAAAGTGAAATGGAAAAGTTGCAGATGAGATTGGAAAAATCAGCAGGAGAGAAGGATCGAATGGAGGTGAAATTAGAAAATTCTCAATCAGAATTAGGTCAGGTTAGAGCAGAGCTAGAAAAATTACAAAGTGAAACATATAAAATACAAAATGAATGGGAAAGGGATAGAAGTGAAAATTCTCGTTTATCTTTAGAGAATGAACGATTAAAAGAACAAGTTGATAGAATAAAATCTGATTTAGATAGGTCTCAAAGTTCTTTAGGTAAAAGCCACTTATATCAATCTGAAGAAGTAGAACGTCTTCAAGAAAGATTAGAAAGAGTACAGTCTGAATTAAGACGAGCACAAGCTGAATTACGCATGAATCAGGCTGAACAAGATCGTTCACGTGGAGAATTAGAACAATTACAGGAAAAAGTTGAAAGATCTCAAGGTGAAATTTATCGACTGAAAGCAAAATTAGAAAATTCACAAGCAGAGAAAGAAGGTCTTCAAGAAGAATATGATCGTGTACAAGCAGCAGCTGCAAGAGCACAATCTGAGAGAGATTCATCAATTTCTGAATCTGAAAAGCTTAAAAATGAAGTGGAACGTCTTCAGACAGCTCTAATCAAGAGTCAAACATTGCAGGAGAAAACTCAAACGTCGTTGGACAATGCTCAGATTGAATCAGATAGAATACAAGAAAAATTAGACAAAGCTAATGCTGAAATTCGAAGAATGCAGTCAGAACGGGAAAGAGCTCAAGGTGATGTTGAAAGTTTCCAAACACAGATTAGTCAGGCACAAAGTCAGATTTTAAAATTACAGAAAGAGAAAGATACTACCCAATATGAAGTTGATAAAATTCAAGAGAAATATGATAGAATACAATTACAACTTCATAGAATTCAAAAAGAAAAAGATAGTACTCATTCTGATATGGAAAAAATGCAAGAACGAATTGATTTACTACAGGCACAATTAAATAAATCATTAAAAGAAAAAGAAAATGCTCAAGCAGAGTTTGAAGTTATTAAGGACAGATGGGAAAAAACACAGAGTCAATTAGATAAGTTCCATGTTGACAGAGATTCATCTCAAACAGAGTTGAAATTACTAAAAGAAAAACAAGAAAAACTGCAAAGTCAGTTATTAAAGTCACAAGAAGATAAAGAATTATCTCGGGTAGAACATGAAAAATTATTAGAAAAAATTGATAGATCACAATCAGAAATTACAAGACTACAAATGAAATTAGATCAAGCACAAGCAGAAGTTGATCGTGTTACTGTTGAGTTAGAAAAATCTCAATTAATAACAAATAAAACAAAAGAAGAACATAGGAAGTCTATAGATAATTATGAAGGAATTCAAGAACTTTATACACGTACTAGTGTACAACTTTCTAAAAGTAAAGAATCAGAAGAAAAATTAAAAACTGAGTTAGAACGCTGTCAGATGGAACTTGAAGTTTTGAGAAGTAGGCATGAGAAGACTCAAATAGAGCTTAGAAAACTACAGTCTGAGAGAGAAGGATTTCAGGCAGAAGTAGATCGATTATCAATAGAATTAGATAGAACCCAAGCACAAATTGGAAAAACACGTACAAATGAAGAAAAAAATCAAGAAGAGTTAACTAGAATGCATTCAGACCTTGAAAAAATTTATGAAAAGTTAGATAAATCCCAATCAGAATTACGCAGGACACAAGTAGAAAAGGATAGATTTCAAACTGAAAAAGAAAATCTGCAGTCAGAATTGGAAAGATATCAGATTCAAGCAAGCAAGTATCAAACTCTTCAAGAAAAGTCACAAATTGAAATTGATAGGATTAAAATCGATATTGAAAAAATTCAAGATAAGTATAATAAATCTCAATTAGAAATAGAAAGATTGACAGGTTTGAAAGAAAAAATGGCCTCTGAAATTGCTTCTTTACAAAATGACTTAGATAAGCTATATTCTGAAAAGGGAATTACGCAAGAAGAACATAAAAGACATGCAGCTGAAGTTGAAAGATTAAATATTGAAATTGAAAAAATAAGAGATAAATATGAAAATACCAAGATAGAATTGCAAAATGTTTTGGATATTAAAGAAAAACAACAACTTGAGATTGAGGACTTAAAAAAACATAAAGATGAAGTTGAAAAACTTCGTAATGAATTAAAACATATTCAAGAAGAATATAAATCTACTAGAGATGATCTGCAACATTTACTTGAAGCTAAACATAGGCAGCAAGCAGAACTTGAATCTCTTAGAGAGAACAAAAGTGAAATACAAAAACATAAAGAAGAAACACAAAAGTTACGTGCTGAACTTCAGAAAATTACAGAAGAATATAAAAGTACTAAGGAAGATCTTCAACATTTATTGGATGTTAAACATCAGCAACAGTCTGAAATAGAAAACTTAAAAGAAAGTAAAACTGAAGTTGAAAAACATAAATCAGAAATTCAAAAATTACGAGCTGAATTGAATGGTATAACAGAGAAATATAATACTACTCAATCTGAACTTCAAAGTTTATTAGATCTAAAACAAATGCAACAATTAGAAATTGAAAGTTTGAAGAATAATAAAACAGAGGTTAAGCAACATAAGGATGAAATGGAAAAACTTAGGAAAAAATTATCAGATTTAACATTAGAGTACAATTCAGTTAAATCAGATTTAGAGCATGTACTTGACACAAGGGATAAGCAAGAATCTGAAATAGAAAACTTAAGGAAATATAAAATTGAAGTTGAAAAGCATAAATCAGAAGTAAGTAAATTACACAAGGAATTAGAACATTTAAATAATGAATATCAATCTATTAAAATTGATTTTCAAAATTTACTGGAAATAAAACATCAGCAACAGTCTGAATTAGATAATTTAAAAGTTAAAAGTTCTGAGGCTGATAAATTGAAGAAAGAATTGACAACTGTGAAAGAGCATTATGAATCAACCAAATTAGAATTACAGAATATTCTTGAAAGCAAAATGCAGCAACAAGAAGATATAGAAGTGTTACGTAAACATGCTGCAGAAGTAGAAAGATTGCATGTTGAATTAGAAACATTTAAAGAAAAATATGAATCTACTAAAATTGACTTACAACAACTTAATAAATTAAATAATCAACAAAAAGAAGAAATAGATATTCTTGGTAAAGAATTAGAAACATTCCAAACAAAAGCAAAGAAGCATGCTAAAGTAGAAGAGAAACATAAAAAAGAAATGGATCGAACAACTAAAGAACTAGAAAAATTGAAACAAAAACTAGAAACAAATCAAGCAGAATTGAAAAAATTACAGGAGGAAAGAGGAACTTTATTAGCAGAAGTAACTAATTTGCAAACTTCACTTGCAGAAGCTCATTCTCAATTAAATAATATTCAATCAAATAATCAACAAGCAGCTGATGATGTTCAAAGAATAACAGGAGAAATTGACAGAGTCAAACAGCTTCTGAGTAAATCTGAAGCAGAATTACAGAGAACTCTATCTGATAATAGTCGCTTACATATGGAAGTTGAAAAACTGAAACAAGATTTAGAAGATGCTGAAACATATATTGCAAAGAGTCAAGAGGATACTAAATCTGCTAAGTCTAGCCAAGAAAAATTAAATGGAGAAATTAAGAAGCTAAAGAAACAATTAGAAAGTAGCCAAAAAGAATTATCAAAAACAAATGAAGAAAGAGATAAACTAAAACAAGAATTACAGATTTATCAGGAAGAATTAGAAAATATGCATACTAATATTAAAAAAACACATGAAGTTCAAGAAACATCTCAAGAAGAATTAAGTCGTTCACAAAAGGAATTAGAGCAAATGAATAAAGTTCTAAAAAATATGGAAGACCAACTTCAAAAAACTGAAGTTGAAAATGAAGTTCTAAGAACTGAATTGAGTAAATCCATGGAAGAACTTAATAGTCTTCAACGACATTTAGAAGAATCAAAGGCTGAAGTTCAAAAAGTAAAAGAACAAAATAAACAATTAAAAGCACAGCATAAGGCAAAAGCAGCTGATAAAAATGGAAAAGATAAACTAGAAAAAGAAGTTGAGAAATTACAAAAAGAATTAGAAAAACAGAAACTAGAAACTGAAAAAATGGTTAAAGAAGCACAGCAAGTAAAGAAGCAATTACAAAAGGCTCAAGAAGAAGCCAAGAATTTTTCTATAGAGAGAGAGAGATTCCAAGGACAATTAGAAATGTTAATTCAAGAATTGGAAAAAAGGGAGGTCAGTGAACTAAATGCTCCATGGATTCAGTTTTTTTCTCAGTTATCTCCTTCTGAATTGGTCATTATTTTATTTTTTTATACGTTATCCCTTTATATTATTTGATTATCAGATTCTTATTTATATATTTTGTTTTAAATGAATTTGATGTGTATACTATGAATGATTATAATTTATGTATTTTCATTTGATTGGATTTTTTCAATCAGTTCTATTCTTATGTATTTTGTATTATTATAAATTATATTTTGTATTTTAATTTTTATATTTTTAAAATGCATGAAGTATTTTAAATTTGATTTAAATAAATGTGCGTGTTATTAAATGATTTTAAAATATAAAAATATGTTAATTATTTTAAAGTGTTAATTATATATTTATGTAGAATATTATTAATTATATTATATTATCTATATTATCATACATGTAAAACTTGTAGCATTTTACTTAAAACATCGTATTGAATTATTTGGTAACTTATAATTATTTTTACAAATAGTGACATTTGTTATTTGCTGTTTGAATTATCTGCACTTATCTCTTTACCTAAATCTGAAAATAAATTACTTCATTTATTTTAATTTATACATTTAAATAGTTGAGATGGTAGTTTTATAAAAAGAAATTTAAATAAACAATATATACTAGCTCAGCTCAAATTTACAATAAATAAACTGCATGTTTGATTGAAAATTATAATTTATTTAGATATTTTAAATTACTATAGGATATAATATTTGTCGAAAAAATTTTTTTAATTATAGAACAGTCTTAAAATTTATAAATTCAGTTTTTTATTATCTTTTGGTACAGTTACACTTTTTAAAACAAAATTAAATTAAATTTTCAGTTAATAATAATAAATATAAAGCATAGTAAAAATCTATTAATTAGTTGATCTCACCTAATATGAATATAACATTACAGGAGTCTTCTGTAGTTTAAATATTTTTATTTAATTTTAGATATTCAGAAAATAAGGTTGAAAATTTTCTCATTTTACTTAAAATTTTAATACTTAGGCAGATATTCAAAAATTACAAAGTCAGCAGCAAGGCAAAGCACCTCAAGATACAGCTGAATTAGATACATTAAGAAAACAGTTATCAGAAAAGGAACAAGTTGTGAAAGATTTAGAGAAAAAATTAAAACATAGACAAGATAAATTAGCTAAACTAGAAAATCAGTTGAAACAGGTAATAATTTTATATTACTATTGAAATTTTTAAATATTGTATTAAACTATTATGAAGTATAATTTTTTTTATTATTAAATTTATATAAAAGTTTTTTTATTATTGAGCAGAAAAATAATTTATGAAAAAATGATATATAAACAAGTAAAACGGCAAGGCCATTTTTGGGACAAGACTGTCTTGGAGACTCAGGGCTCGACTGTGCACCATTTTCTAAGGAAAAGAGAAAAATGAGCACAAACCAATGAGGAAAAGCCAACACTGATACTCGGGGTCCTGGTGTAGATTATGGCGAGCTTTGTTGCCTTTGTGGTTACAACGGGTTGTGTTGTCATGGGCTTGTTCTTGGCTATGATAAGCAGGAAGATATTTGTATGCAAATTGCCCAATGTTGCTCTTGTCATTTTGCCATCCTTCAAAACAACAAGAGCAAGAGAATACATACATAACGTGTGTCACACATTTGTCAGAATTCAATTTTGCAATGTTCACATTTCAAAATTCCCAACAAGCAACACATGCGCAAATTTCGCACTAGTGCCTGTTTGTAGAAACAGTGTCAGCATTTTGTATTTTATTTTGACTCGATTCTTGGTTCCCTGACTACCTACAAGTCTGGTTTTTTTCTATGTGTGCATGATTTGGGTGCCAAATTGCAACTCCTGATATGTACTCCTTCATACTTCTAAAGTGTCTAGCCATTGACAAAAGCACGATTTTATAGACAAGACATAATCTCGTCAAAAAAGTAATTGTTTATTGGATACCCAGTACATTCGACCCCCCTATAACATAGTAGATACGTTCCGTTCTTTATGAATCCATTTTGTACGAGTCCTTGCCAATCACAGCCCGGCACATATGCACTTTACGAACTACAGCTGTTTGAAAGGTTTCTTCCATAAAATTAATCGATTCCTAGACTAATTTGACTCAACATTTCCAAAATACGTGTATTTTTTTGGGAATAATCCGTATAAACTATGCTATAAACAAAAAATTGTAGGATTACTTACCGAGTGTGCACCATTTGACGTTGCCATTGCTTAAGCTTGTTTTCATCGCAGAGCAGCGCACCAAACAGTGGTCGCGATTTCTGATAAGTTATTTTTCTGCAAAAACTTTGTTGAACTTTGGAGACATCATTAATATAAATAATTTTTATGGGCGTTGAATAAGAAATGTTTCTTTCACAAGAAATGTATAAAATTAGTGCTGTATTAGACTTACAGTACCTAATTTACATACTGTACAGACGATAGTAAACTCAACTTACTCGCCTAAACTCTCCGTAGCGTGGAACTGGACGGTGGAAAGTAGTTTGGCTGCCTGATGACGGTTTACCTTATTATAGGAGTTTTTTTACCATGTTTGTACGGATACTGTTGCAATTTTTTCGCTGTCATATAGGAATCTGAACTATAGGAACCCGTGTTATAGGGGGGTCTACTGTACAGTAATACCTCAACTTACGCTACCCCGACTTACGCTACCCCGGAGTTACGCGATTTTCAAATCTTGTCGATTCGTCTTTTGTTTGAGCGCCACGCAACTCTTGATTACTCACTCCTCCCACATTATTGTTCAGCTTACGTGTTCGGATGTGTTGTGCTAAATCAACACATAAATAACACAAAATAAATTGTAGCTATTTCTGTGTTTGTTATATCTACGGAGACTTGAGAGACTCTATATGGTGATTTCTTGCAACCGTGAACGAATCAAAAGACGCGGTAAGATTAACGAGAACATTTATTAGCTTATATACATCCGACTTGGATTTTACACAAATTGTGAAATTATACCCCGACTTACGCGGTTATCGCTCGGTCCCACCTATCGCGTAAGTTCGGGGTATTACTGTACTGTACTACTATTTCATTAGATGATTAAACAAAGAATGCAACTTCATAATTGTCTTTCTATTGTAGTTCTGAGGTATATTGGAGTACAACAGTTTGAAGGTGGGGTAAGATGATAGAGAAGGGCTGTACATAAATAAATCAGACACAGAACAAGATTGATATGGAAAGGATATATTTCTGAGGGACAATTACATTTACTAATTGGCTGATGGGCAAACTGCTCTCCATTCTAGCACAATACAAAGAACTTTCGCAAACAGAATAAACTTTGATGTTACAATCTACACTAAATCACATGACACGACAGTAAGAAATTACTAAATTAGAACTACTAAAATCTATTTACACGGATGGCGATGGCTGACTCCTCTTCTCGATGTCCCTTCCTTATGTGCAGGGCTAATACCGCTTCCATGTGGTCCTCTCTCTTTCCTTAGAATAGGATTACTTAACATTCCAGAATTCCTTATATGTGTCTGAAACACTGTAACAGGAAATAATTGCACCTACCAATTATTATCCTTGATGCCTTTCTACAAATCAACACTACTCTTCTGATTAATACAGTCTCCGTACCGATGCAGTCAGATTCCCTTTTTCTTTTGATTCACTCAGTTTCAGCTCTCAGTCCCCTTAATGTGTTAGGGTCTATTGTTCTACTTTCCTTCTTCCATAGCACACCCAATAACTTCTCCTGGTGCCGATTGGGATAAGGTCCAGGAGAAAAAAAGAACTTTACTACACATGACCCCTCCATTTATACATCCCGCCATAGACATGATGTAGTACCACATGTCAGTGCTAAGGGGCCAATCACTGGCATGCACCCCTACACCACAAGATGTGATACGTATCACGAAAAAATCTACAATGAAACTTGATACATGACAATCATATATGTGTGTCTATATATATATAATGACAATATTAACATGCAATTAGTGATAATCACTACACTATCCATTTGAATTTTTCTAGGAAAAAAATTGTATTTCTTATCAATTAGACTTTTTAATCTCCTCTGTTTTCAATATATTATATTATTTGATGTTTTCTTAATTTCTATCTATATTTTTATATTTTATGTTTAAAATATGAGTAAAAATTATTTATTTATAGTACTGTACGTTGTTGGAAAATTTAATATAAATATATTATCACAGACTGAACAATTGACCTTAGTGAATTCAGCAAGTTTAAGGTTGCAGGGTTTTTTGTGTAATTGAGATTTTGTTTCCTGTGATAACATAGATTATATTGTTGAATTCTCTGTGAGAGTGATATTAAACTAAATTAATTAACTTAAGTATAATACTCAATGCAATTGTGTGTTTGATTTAGTGATTGCCCTAATTTCATTACATAATGAATATATATCTTGTAACCACATGCTGAAATTTCAGTATATAGCGATGACACACATAATTTAAAAACAATCACATAATATGAAATAACACTTTCTATTCTGTTTCATTTAATAAATCTTTAAAATCAGTTTATTTGAAAAAATTATAGTAAAAACTTAGCTGTAATTTTATGGATAACTTCAAGATAACAAAGGAGAGAACTGCCTTTCAAATTCCATGCTCACATTTATTGTAAATAAAATAGAAATCTTCTATTAATAAACTGATGATAAAATCTTGTTCAGAAAAGTGTGATAGATATACTAAACTGCATCTTATGATGCAGTTAGTTTAGCCTATCTATCACACTTTTATATAGATTAATTATTCAACCACTGCATCATAAGATGCAGTTATTGAACATTTCTATATAAAATTTCATAAAAAATATATTCCCAAATGCATGTCAATATTAGTCATCAGAGACTAATATTGTAAAAATTTAATTAAATTGAACATTAATTTTTAGTTAACTAAACAGCTATTTGAAACTTTACAGTTAAAAGTTTGCATATTTCTTAAATACAGGTCTATAAAGAATTGTTTCATTCTAGAAATTAAAAAGTATGGAAGTATAGAAAAAGTTTTTGTTGCATAGTATGGAGGCTTTTTTTATCCATTAAGAACTTTTTGTAAAATTTTAGTTAGAGACTAATTCTGTAAAAATATTTAGATATAAATGAAAATTAGTTATACAAGCATGAAAAATGCCCTTCTTAGAAAATGACAAAAGAAAAATATTATAAAAGGTACATTTTTATAACTTATAATGAAAAAATTTATAATTTATGAAAGATCAGTTGAATTTAACTTATTGTCTAATTGCAGATATACTAGAATTTAATTGTGAATAATAGTGCATTTAGAAGTATAGTGTCCCTAGACTTACAATATGTAGACACCCCCCAAATTAATAGTACCCTTTTTGCACCGACTGATTCTATTTTATAATTTTAATTCTGTAATAATTGTACTTTTACAGATTTTTAAATATTGAAAGAGCAAAGGGCACTGCTATTGAAAACCCATCATTAGTAACCTACTTCCAGTCTGTTCATGCAAAATATATTCATATATTAATCTATTTTACTGATATGTTTTATTTTGTCCATACTTAAGCCTTAAATTTGCATTAATTCCTTTATGAATTGTTTCTACATAAAATTATATTTTCATTATTTTATCCATATTTTGAATGTTTGCGTATCCAAACTCTTGTACTCCTAGGCCAGGCCTAGTGAGCCTGATGGAAAATCTTCTACTGCTTATGAAGGACTAAAAATACATTTTGTTTGAAGTATGGCAATAGAGTATTTTTAGATAAATGAGAGATTGTTTAACAAGGCATATAGAAAAAGCAGCAAAGTTTAAATGTCACAATGAAAGGGGTAAGGAGTCAATTCCAACTCGTTCTGTTTTGTTTGGAGATTATTTTTTTAGTTCATTATTTATTTATTTTGGGCATTTTATTTTGTTAAAGATAGACTACCACACCTCACCCAGGCAAAAATTCAAAAACTAACTCATCTTACTATGATGACTGCTGGTGACCCATGACACCAGCAGTCATGACCTATCGAACCCAGAAACGACATCTCAGGGAAGGCTGCCACAATAAATTAAAAGAGTGATCTCCCATCCAAATTGTCATTGAAAACACAATAAAAAATTATAAAATTAATTGTAAGGGCAATGACATGAATTAAAAAGGCAGACTACTAGAATGAATGAAATGTTAACAATTAAGTATGTAAATAGGGTTAAGTGGGCATATGCATGTGACGTTGTAATGTCACCCCAACCACACTATAAGAAGGTGGTGAAATGAAAAATTGAATGAGATGATGCTAAGCATCAAGCAAGGTTGACCAAAGGTTTTTAAGTTTCAGTGATGACATAGACATTTCTTCATTTGGTTAGGTGAATTAGTAAGATTTGATTGTGATTTTTTGATATGTTTTCATATTTTGCTTATTGGTTTTTGTGGAGATAGTTCTAAGGGATAGTTATACAGTAGAGCGTCGTTTATCCAAATCAGTTGGGAACTGGGGTTGTTCGGATAACTTATTTTTCGGATAACCGATTATGTACAAAAAATATATTAACCTATCCCATGTTGAAATTTTTCTCTGTTGTGTGTCGCTTCGTATTGAATTTTCGTCGATGTTAAGCCTAACGTAAATTTTTTAAAATAATAATCATGGCTATTGTATCATTAAAAATTATTTCTTTATTTTGTACAAACAAAATAAATATATTGAAAAATATAAAAACAAAAAAATTATACTTTAGAAGTTAATCTAGTATCAAAAACGTTTGATTCAGCATGACACACAGTTCTGAGAAAAACACCACACAAAAGTGCCAGTGATGCCTGCTAAAAAAACACACATCAACAAAAAAATATTGGAGTAGCCCAAGATATAGCCAAAGATTGCAGCACCACAGCACTAGTGAAAATTAAAATTTCCCGACTGGAATTCTTTCGGATAACTGACTTTTGGATAAACAACGCTCTACTGTAATTTAATTTGTAAGTCCCCAATTGTCGGAAAAGTTTTTGTACATATTTGTTTTTGTATTTTGATAAATTATCTTTATTATATTTTTGCAAATTTATCTCTAACTTTATTTCTTGATTGTACATATTTGGTCTTTAACTAATAAATATACTTTGTTCATATTAGGTATAGTAAGCCTTATTTTGAATTTTGACTTTAAAATGCTTTCATTCATATTTATTGCCTGCACAAAGTCCAGGACTGGCATGTTCAAATCCTCATTTATGCAATGCACCATTAGGATACTATCTAGGTTAAAGATTTCAATTGAATTAAATAGATAAGATGTTACAAAGTTAAAATTAATGTATTCACATGATGTCAAGTTGTGAATATGCTCATTTTATGCTTGTTGCAACATAGTAAATATCTCTTTTCTTAAATCAAATTCTTAGGAACATAATTTTTTTTTTAATTGCCTTCTCACTGTTACTGATAAATGATCTTTGATTCATTAAAATATTTTCCCTGTTTTGATTTTATTTTATGAACCTTTTATTCTAATATATTATAAATTTATTTTTATAACAAATAATTGATTATTCCTACAGAATCAGTAGAGCAGTTTGACAATATGTTTCTCAATTGACTGTATTTCCACATAAATAAGAGCATGCTCTTATTTATGTGGAAATAAGAGCATGCTCTTATATGTGAAAATTGTTTGTTTTGAATTTTTGAAACATATGTCCAGCTTTGCTTGTAAGTGCATATCTCACATATAAGAGCACATCTCACATATAAGAGCACTATACTGCACTATGAATGTAAATTAAATGTAAATGTACTGATACAGTAGTTATTCAGTGACATCTTCGTGGTAATCATTACTAGGCACAGTTTGTTTTCTGTCTGAACATGAACTAAGAATTGAATCAAAGCATTATCAAGTCAATAATATTGTTTCATGGGTCATCTACAATGATCATTTGTCATTACTATGACAGTGATGCCACTGCTGACATAAAAAGGAATTTTTAAAAATTTCATATATTTATTCTAGTCACCTTGTATCTCAAAAATAAAATAATAGATTTCTGATTTTTAATTACATTTTCTCATATTATGTAAAATGACAAAGTTTAATCAAAATTGCACAATCAAATTTTGAGAACAAATGCAATTCTATAAGCCACGTAGAAGAGACATCACTAATGCTTCATCTCAATTAAAAATAAATTCTTCCAACACTATAACAGTTTTTTAAAAATAGTGAGTTTTAGTAGGATGTAGAAATCACTGAGATCAGCGTTATATGTGCGTTTAATGCTGATCTCAGTGATTTCTATGTCCTACTATACAGTATTTGGCATGAATATCATCCCATTGATTATAGTGAGTTTTTTAGGTACATTATGAAATATATTGCCAATTTTGCCCCATCTATAAGAGCATGCCCTTATACTTGAATATAAGAACATTTGTTACATGTGCAGAAATACAGTATTTAAAAAAAACTATAATTTTTTTCAGTTTTAAAATATTTTTAAAACATATTTGTTTTTTCTTCTCTAAATATTAGAAATTAGTTTCTCTGAACAATTCAAGATCATATTTACAATATTTACATTTTCTAAATACTAAATATATTAAATAAATATATACACTTGAACATGTCTATCTTGAATCTCATGGGAATGAGAAAAAAATTCATGATAAACAGGTTTCAAGATATAGAGGTTCCTACACAGTAAACAGTAATAGGTTTCATTGGTGGTATAATATTAATTCAATAGCAAGTACGGTACATACCTATATTAGGTATAAATAATACATTTTTGATGTACCTTAACAGAAATAGTTTGTCAATAGTTTTTGATGTCTGACTTTCTTTGACCAATAATATGAAAACCAAATTCATAACCAGAGAGAAGCAGTGTTAATTGCAACTAAGTACTGTATTGCAAGAGATGTTTCTCAACTGCAAATTATGCTATCAAAATGTAGTTACTGAGTTTTGAATTTGTAATTGACGCTTTGGTCCATAATTTGAGGTGTAGAAGTTTTGGGAGAAAATTATTTGAGATAGTCATGGAAAATTTATTGAATTTAGGCTGAAAATGCAGAAGAAAAAATAAATTTTGAGATAAAGAGATTTTCAAGATAAACATGTTTGAGATATACAGGTTCAACTGTATATCTATTTTTTTGTATTGCTTTTTATTGTCTAGTAATTGCAATAATTTTATTATAAATTAGATTTTATTTTAGATGAGCTATTTTTTTAGAAGGCTTATATTTATTATTTATTTATTTCTAGTTGCAAAGTGAAGTTACATCTGTTCCAAAGGGAGATACAACTCAACAGATCACAAATCTTCAACAAAAATGTGCAGAACTTGAAAAAGCAAAATTGAATAGTGAAAAAGAAGTGGCTAAGGCAAAAGAAGATGCTAGTCGATCACAAGCTGAATTGGAACGTTTATTGCAGATTATGACAACAAGTGAAGAAGAAAAGTTTGCCTTAAATAATCAAATTAAAGAATTACAAGAGTAAGTATTATATATATATTACTTTAATTAATAAAAATCAAAAAGTTTGATGGTTCTTTTCAAAATCTATTAATGGTATCACTGTCTTGTCTTATACATGTATATTTTAATGAATACAATGTTTTTGGCCTTTATATTGTTTCAGCATGTTTCTCCTTTACTTACAAACATACAAAGTTAGTTTTAAAAGGTATAAAAATCACTTTTACATAGTTCTTTTAAGGTTACGTTAATCTTTAAGATCTCAACTAACATTAGATTAATTTAGGATAGAGGATAAAGGAATATTGAAACTATTACATAAAAATAAATCCTATGACATCTAAATTTAAGCCTGTTTATTGTTTGTACAATTTTTTCATATGCGATTTTAATCATTTTCTTAGTTTTAAGGTTGAATATTTTCTAATAAATTTTAATCTATTTGATTTATCCTTTATACAAACAAAACTTATCAGCATTAACTTTGATTCTAATTGAAAGTTATGAATTAAACAAAAGAAGTAAGCAATAATCAAATGAAATATTTAAATATTTTGTTTCTTATAAATTTGAATGACTTACTAATTAAATAATTATTTAAAAGTTGTTTACATTTATAGTTTAATAGTTTTTGAACTTAAAAAATATCATAAAACAGAATTTGAACTACAATTTTTGTGTAGAATATTTGAGATTTAATTCTAATTCTAATTCACTTTGAAGTGAATCTAGTTGCATGTTATAATTATTGGCATTATAAGTTTTTAATTAAAAATGAAAGTGTTTAATGAATTTAAGTTATGAATAACTTTATTAATAAACTAAATTTATGTTTATTTGAATAATAGTTTGCTTTATTTAAATGATCAGTTACTACAAGTTAAAAACTTTATGTCACTTCCATTATATGTTGTTCTGATATTATCACTTAAAAGTATACAATATGATGAAATATTTTTCATTGTCATTCACAGTTTAATTAAATTCAGTAAGTTTCATTAAAATTATTATTTTTAATTCAAATATATAAATAAATATATAGGTCTTTGAAAGAAAAAGAAGCAAAACTAAACAGTATGAAAAGAAATCAGCAGACTGAAAAAACTCGCAGTGCTCAGATGTTAGAGGAAGCAAGACATAGAGAAGGTGAAATGAGTAAAGATGCTTCCAAACAACAAGTAAGTATTAAAAAATTGATTTATTAAAGAAAATAAACAGATTTAATGTGCATATGTCCATGCACACACACACACACATATATATATATATATATATATAGATGTTTTGTAGAAATGTTTTTGTTAGTGTTAATGTAACTAAACATATGTTTGATAAAGACAAAGAAAATTTTTATATGTTTCAGAATCAATTTTTTTTCTTTTCTACAATTTTGTAGTGTACAATATCAAAGCAGAAAACAAAACATAAACTTTAATACGTTTCTCAACAATATTTATGCTACTACCTTGTAATTTCTCTTCACAAACAACTGTGACATGGGCAATAGCTGTTAAAACTGTCTTAACTTCTAACTTAACCTAACTTTTAAATCTCACTTAATGTAATATATGGAAAATGAAATTAAGAATCATAGGAATGGACAGAATAAAAGATGGGCAATTAAAGAATTATTTCAACTTGCTGGCAGATCTGTATCATATGATATCATGCTTTCTCCCTTATCCTTTATCTCCTATTTATTATTTTTGATGGAACAGGAAAATAATACTAGAATTTGGGTAACATTAACTTGCAGAAAGAAAACTGAATTGAAATTAAAGACATTTAAATTTTTTTTTGTTATGTATTGTGTTTCTTTCTTTTATTAGTTTGTTCAATAGTCTTAATACACCACTTCCTTTCTTTTTCTATGTACCATACTGTACACTTTCACTTTCTTGCATAGACTCCTGGTATCTCCTCTCTCATAAACTAAGTTAAGTTTTCTCTTTGTATAGTTTGAAACTGTGATCCCTAGCAGTTCTCATCACCAATTCTATGCCAGCAGCTTTCTTAGGATAGTCTCTTGATCTTCAGGTTGCTAGAGATGAGAGAGGAGAGGGAAAAAAAGGAAAGAGGAAAAAAGAAATTTGAGGGGAGAGGAGAAGAGAGAGAGAGAGAGAGAGCGATTCAGAGCTATGATTTAACAACATGATTCATTGTAAAAAATATACAAAAAAATGATATCAATATTACCACAAAACATATACATTGTGTAACTGAACTCAGTGCCAATATTTTAGGGATGGATTCTATGATCAAAAATAAGCTTAAAATCCTCTGTAAAGGTTTTTCAAAACCAACTTTGCTTTTAAGGTATGGCCTATCAGAAATTGTATCAGAAACCACCAAAAGGATACTGCTGTTTGTTTTCCACTTCTCTGTTATAAACATATACAAACAATAAAAACAAAACTATCATTGTTTATCTAATATAACTTACAAATGATAACTAATCTTATCTAATCTACATTTTACATAAAACTATCTTTAAAAAATTAATCTATAACTGATAATATTTAAATTAAATAAGTATATTTTGAATGCTTAAATCTTTAACTAACATTTCTTCTAATTTCTTTACTAATCTATTTTCTCTTTTTCCTTTTAGCCCTCTGGTCCTGCAGGTTTCTTTTCAAGTTTTTTTTGAAATTTTATTTTTTTATTAAATATTTACTAATGACTGTTTAGTTTTGATTGTTGAATGTTTTATGAAAAGTTAAGTTTGATGCAGCAGTTCTGCTTGGCTTTCAGTTATGTCGTCAATCTACCAGGATGCAGTTTTAAGATGTTGGAATGAAGAAATGCAGTCTGAAATAAAATATATTCATATCGCAATTCTGTGTGCCTTTTATAAGCTTTAAATAAATACTTTTCTTTTAATTTTATGTTTGGATAATCAAATCCTAGATAATTTTTAGTTTATTATATTTTGTTTGTCACTGTGCTATGCTCTTTCCCATCACCATACTTCCTCCCTTTTTCACCTCTCATCAGGAATTATTGCAACAGCAAAGAGACAGAATCGAAGAATTGGAAGAAGCATTGAGAGAAAGTGTGACCATTACCGCAGAAAGAGAAGTGGCTGTGGCACAAAAAGATATTATGATAAAAGCATCAGAAGAAAAGGTTTGTTTATAATTCTAGATTAAATAATAATTAATTCAGTATTACATTCAATTTGCCAGTTTAAATTATTTTATAAAAGAATTTAGTGCTTAAAATTCTTTCCTCTTGTTTAATGTTTTATCATTTAATTTATTATACTTTAGGATTCATTATGAAAATACTTAATATTCAATTAATTGCATCTTCAATTTCCATGTATTAAATGTTTATAAGCCTTGTTTTTGATTGTATACATTAATATAAAGTTTTCAATTTTGAAATTTATTAGTTTCTTTAATTTTAACAAACTTGTTAAAAAATAATATTTTAATAATTTATTTGGAATTCTGTTTACCTACTTTACTCAAAATACTTTTCTCATAACATATATAGATAAGTTCATTTATTCTTCTTAAAAATTTGTTGCTAAAATTAGTTTTATATAAGATTGTTAACTCATTCTTATTCATATTTTTTATTATTATAATTAAAATAGTTATTTGTTTACAGTTAAAATTTATTTTTGTTACATTATTTTAAGGCTTTCCGAAGTCATAAAATAAATATATACCGTAAATGTATTTTGTTGTAAATAAGTAAGTAAACAATAAGGTTTTTAATAATTACTTTTACACATGATAGATTATTCGTTTGCATGCAGAACTGAGAGCCCTACAAAATACTCATAATGCAAGATGTACAAATTGTCCACCAATGAAAGTACAATTGAATGAGTTAGATAGTAAATTGAAGAAATTAGTAGCAGAAAGAAAAAGCCATTTAGAAGAGCTCTTTGAAATGAAGTATGTTTGTTATTTGAATTATTTTATTGAAAATTGTAATAGGTTATTTTATTGTATTCAACGTAATTGTAATACAACCCAACCACTGGATTACATTTATGCTACCCGAGCCTCCAGACCAATCTCCTCTTCCAGACATATTTAAATATGCTGTAATGAAGGAAGGTTAAATCATATTTAAATATGACTGGAAGAGGAAATCAGATTGGAGGCTCAGGTAGCATAACTGGCAATGCATCCACACGGTAGCGGGAGTTGGGGGTTCGAGTCCCACTCCGGGCCCATTCTTTTCTTCCAGAATATTTTAAATTATTTAATAAATACTGTATTAATTTAATTATAATTATTAAATTTAATTAGAGATGGCACCTAACATCCCCCCTTTATATTTAATTAATTACTACATAATTTGTCACTAATCTCATAAAAGTAACCCGATGTAATCCAGTGGTCGTTTGGTTTCACATATTTGTTGGGTTTTGTAATGTTTGTTTATGTATTATTGTAATAATAATTATTTGGATATTTGGGCATTTTTTAAAATTTCACTTTATTTTACTTCACTATTACACTATTCACATTTATCATTTCACTATTATATTATCTTTGAATTTTTCATATGTAATTTGAGTGATTATACAATAGAACAGAAAAATAATTTTGTACAGTAAGGATAAAAAACTGTTACACATATAGAATTTTATTTAAATGCAAAAGTTGCTAGATCTGCTATTGTTGGCTACATAAGATTAACAAGAAATTTAATACTAACTGATACTTACAAGAAATATAATACTAACTGATAAAATATTGTCTGTCTAATTCACGGGTTCCCAACCTATGGGTCGCGACCCAGAAGGGGGTCGCGACGGGTTTTCTGTGGGGTCGTTAACTTATGCAGTAAACTAAAACAAAATTTTCACTATAATGCAATATTTATTTTTAATGGTGTCTTAAAGTTTGAATAATTTCATATATTTTTAAAAAATTAAAATAAGTGTAATCTGGGTACGCTATTCTGTCACAGTTGGTTNATATAATTATATATATATATATATAGAAGGTGATTATATGAGGGGAGTCTTATATTAAAGGTACAGGCCAAACAAAATTACATTAACATTTGTAAATAAAGAAAATATTTAATACATTCCGCAAAAACTGCATACTTTTGTTTATTTCTCAACATAATCATCATAAACGTTGAGACATTTATCCCAGTGTGACACTAATTTGAACATCCCTTCATGGTACTGTTGCTTGTCAAGTTGCTTGAAATAGTCCAGAATGGTGTCTTCCAATTCCTCCTGATCTTCAAAGCGTTTCCCCACCAAGATTTTACAAATATGTAAGCCGTTCACAGCCCGGCACACATATTTGTAAAATCTAAGTGACTCGTACAACATGGAATTGATATAAAACGGAATAATCAACAGTGTTATAGGGGGGTCGACTGTATTAAAAAATACTTAATGTCATTTAATATTAAAGACATTTTATTTTAATAGAAAATATGGTCTCAATGTTATTCATAAACATATTTGTTTATATCATTAAGAAATTTACAGTAATAAAACTATTCTTAATTATTTTCATGAGCATTACTAGAAATGTATAGTAAACAATTATTCTTTATTATTAGAGGAGAAAAAATATATATGTTGGTTATTACAAATAAAAGAACAGACAACAAAAGGATCTAATCCCAAATCTTTATACTTGTATAACAAAACAACAACAAATATTAAATTTATACGAAAGATGCATGCAGAACTATATGCAGAACTAGAGCAACCTCTATAAATTGTAAACATACAATAAATAATAATATTGTTAGTTACAATTTTCCTTTATTTAATTAAACACATGAGCCAAACTAGTATTAATAAACATAAATAAGAACATTGCTTGTCCAATCCATTTCATTCTTATTTCATTGATAGAGTTAATAGGATAGAGAAAGAGAATACGAAAAACTTATTTGCCTATTCTAGTGCTTCGCTATTATACTTGTAGGGAAACTTCCTAATTTTGTTAATTTATATATTATCGTATCTGTAATTGTAATTCCGTTTAGCTTGCACTGGGTTTTGTGTTGTGTTATGCATATGCATTATATTTTAGACTTGTCCTGTACCACCCGAATTCGGGTCGTACAGTAAGGACATCGCTGATTGGTCGGCTGCCAGGACATGTGACAGGTGACATTTTCGAGATGGAGGGTGTTATAAAAGGGAAGGTAACACCTGTAGGAGGACTTTTTGTTTTCCCTTCCTTGCCCGGGTGTAGTTTGGATGTTAAGCTTGCAGACGAATGAGTGAGTGTGAAGTCACAAGGAGTTCCAGCTAGAACAAAGGACAGATTGCATGAGGTTACAAGGGAAAGGTAATCCAATTCCATCGGCAAGAGACCGCAGGTAGATCGGACGGATAAAATCAAGGTGATTAGGTGCAAATTAACATGACCTAACGTGACTATTATTATCCAAAAATTGTATGGTGATATTTTGAAAAACACTCAGTTTCGAATAGAAGAAGAGAATACCTACCCCTAGTATAAGGAGTGTAACATGGTACTGTACGTGTATATACGCATCAACGAGGGTGCAGTTAATTCTTACTTTGAAATCACCCTTGACCAATTGTTAGTCATTTAAGCATGTGAACGAAGTAGTGTCAGGTATATGTTAATTCTATGTTTTTCTTCGTGATCATTAAACTTGTCTGTCAATGTCACAAAAAAATTTTTGTAAAGTCCTCTGTTTATTTCATCACATAAGCTCAATATATTCTGATATATCAGCGATATTACACTATTACAACAAAAAAAAAAATACAGTGGGTGATCGGTTAACAAACAGATCGGATAACGAACACTTTCGCGAAAGATTTTTATGTTTGGACAACGAACACATGATCGGATAACAACATCCCATAGAACAAACACAAGAAGAAGCGATGTAAAATAATGAATACCGATTGGTCTTCCCTTGTCTTAGGGCAACAATTCAAAACCTTTCGGAGCGTGGGAGACATCGACATCGACGCTCAAGCCGGTATATACCGATTGGATAGTATTCCTCCGAACTTTGAAACTCTTCCTTTTAATTCCAGCCTTTTATTTTTCTGACAGAAACAATTCTTTTATGTATTCGCAAGACTGTCAGGTAGGCACTCACTAAGTTTTGCATCTGTTTTTCTTTTTGAAAGGTCAGAGTATAATAGCAAAGGTAGAGAGTGGGCAGAAAATGCCTAATGTTTCTGGGCAGTATGGCTTGAACAGGTCTACAATAGGCCGTAGTTAAATCTTATCTAAGAAAGATACTGTATTATCAAGAAGACTCAAGCAGCTAAAGGAGTAACAAAAATCACATCTGAGATATAAAGAACATNACTAAATTATCAGTTAGCTGCTCAGTATCAAGTCATTTAAATAGCTCATTTAAAGATAGCAATTGCCTATTTTCACAAATAATGTCAATTGGAAATCTAAATTGGTTTGGAATTATTGGAATGATAAGCAGGTCTGGAGTTTGAGTATTTATTTAATTTGTTACTTATGTAGTCTACTAAGAATTTAGGATTACATTGGAACAGAGTATAAGGATAGTGAACATGTAGAATATATAAAATAAAATAATATATTAACTTTATGTCCCTCAAAATGTGTAAGACAATTCAGAGAGAATTGCCTATTAAATGCTTCTTACATGTATCTATCAGACATCCTAATGAAATAATTCCAGATTGTTCTTTATCATAACATGACATCCTACGTATGTCCTACCATTTGAGATACATTGAAACTGTCATCATAGTAGTTATTGTTTCCAATGTTTATTTAAACTTTGTAATACACTTTTTTAAATGTATGTGTTTAAAATAAACATGTTCTTGCATGTGTGATGCAGTAATGTTATTCTCTCTGTAATGAATAGATTTGCATCCAGTTTACAAATTTATTTGATTTTTAAGTGCATCCCTAGAATGATAAGTGAACCTCTTGATAATTGCATTTTTACTTTAACTTTTTTGTGTAGTATGCCACTGCTTATATTTATTGTAACTTTGTTTAACTTAAATTATAAATGTTTATAATCTTTCATGTCTTCCTTAGTATTGTTGGTGTCAGGTCCTCTTTTATAATAATTGACTGTCATAAGTCAATTATTATAAAAGGCTGTCCAGGATTGCAAAATAATTTGGAACTTTCTGCAATATCCAGCATAGCATCACAACAACATTCGAAAACCAACAAGTTGAACATACAAATTGCTCGAACAGTGAAACTGTTTCTTGGAAACAATCATCTAAATCTGTTAGTTGCTAATAAAGATAAAAGATTTGTGCTACGTAAAAACCAGGATTTCTTGTCAAGAGCCAATGAATTTCTTGAACAATCCAATTCGGTTATTATAAAAGAGGACCCGACACCAACAATACTAAGGAAGACACGAAAGGTTATAACACTCCCAGGTGTAAATGTTTAAAATTACAATTGTATTTTATATTTTTTAGTAATTGTTATAAACTATTTCCTAGACTTTCCTACATACATAGTAAAGTTTTTAATAATTTAGTCTATTTATTAATATATATTTTTTTTTATTTAATTTTTTTTGGTCAATATTTCCTATTTAATTTACAAATTGATGATGATTATTATCTATTTTTATATTTTAAATTAGTATTGTTTAAACATTTACTTTATGGTTGAGTTAAAAATATTTTACTATTTTGTTTCAAAAGTTTTGTGGTGAATGCACGTGATAGTATGAACAGCGAGAGTAAGTACAATGATGATAAACAAAATTTAATTTTCAGTCCACATGATGTTTTCTTTACACAGGATTCTAACTTGGATCCCAACTATAACATACACATTTGTATATGAAGTTACAATGAACAGGAGTGTTAACAAACAAAAGGGTGCACAATTATGTAAAAACACATCATGTATGTATTGTTGGAAAAAAATTTATTTCTTTATTGCAATTAAATTGTCCTGGCCAAATTTTAAAAACTGTAAATTGTTTTTTAATTGTGCTGCCACCGCTAGAGGGATACAACAGACTGTTTTACATTTGAAGGTGGATGAGAAGTCTCAAATAAAAGGTAGACTCCACTGTGGAATTGTCTTATCCTTCATCTTTGTGAGAAAGGACAAATTGTGTAAAGACACATTATGCATTGTCAGAAAAAGATATTTATTTCTTTATTGCAAAAGGGTGCACACTTCACAACAATAAGTGTTACAGTCAGACTTTCCTGAATCTTTATAACTAAACTTAAAACTAACTTATATACTAAAAAGAAGAAGAAGAAAGATATAAAATAGATGTTAGGAAGGTGATCATGAAAGTATTTATGGCACCATGGGGTTTTTTCTTTGTGAAAATCTTCGATCTTTCAGGTGGAGGGATCACTCTCATTTCGTTGTTCACTACTCTTCTTTGTTTCAAAGTTTATATCTCCAAAATCATTCACTTAATTCTCGATTACTATGTTGACGCTATGGTTTGTTCCTGTTACTGCCAACATTTCCTGTCTTCCTTTTGTCCCACTAGGCAATGTTTCGGACTTTACTCCTTCTATGTCTGTCCACTATGAATGCTTCACCAAGAATGTCCTCCTACTTCCTCGACTCGCCTCAGGGCTTTTCTCTTTCTATTGTTTTCTCGGTGTAGTTTCCCGAACTACGTCTCCACCCGCAGGAAGGAAAGACCATTAGAAAGTTCGAGAAGAAAGATACAAAACAAAAGACTAAGGAACTTAATATTATGCTTAACACTAAAACATATATACAAAATATGGCGTATCGCCACAGCCTTATCACCTCATCCATTGAGCTGGCCTTGTTCTGGTTCTTTGTATTGATATCTAGGAAAATGTTTATTTGCTTTTTCACTAAAATGTTAAAAATGTTCACATCTGCATTTACATGACATGTTTCATTCCATGTATTTATGTCAATTTACACTCCATTAACAAATTTTATTTTGTTGGTTTCACATAGAGATTTAAATCCAATACACTAGATTTTGATTACAAAATCTAGTAAAGATAAACTTTGTAAAGATAAATTTATATTATTGATCTTATTTGCATAGATAACATACATACACATTTGTGTAAAGTCTTATTTAAGTAAAATATTACTTAAATAAGACTTTAGGTTATACAGTATTTTTTTCCCAGAAAGTTTCATTTAAGAAAAAATTCTATGCAGATTTTCCGGAAAGATTAAAATTCATTAGTTCTGTAATTTTTAATTTCTTTAAATTTTTATAAGCATTTTTTAAAATTGATACAACTAAATTTTAATATATTTAGACAGGAAGCATTGTCAGCTGCTGTAAGTGAAAAAGATGCTCATTTAGCATTATTAGAGATGTCTGGTATTAAAAATGCTCAAACTGCTGAAGAAGTAGATAGATTGAAAACAGAAAGAAGATGTCTTTTAGAAAAAATTAAAATAGAGGTAAAAAATTAATATATTATAGATTATTTTAAAAACTTTATTCTTATTTTTAAGCAAATTTTAAAATGTTAATAATATTTTTATCATTTTGTTTAATGCTTTCAATGATTAAAATATAATTAAATTAAATGAATATTATAATGTATAAATTTAATAATTTTTTGAGAATTATGTTAAATATTAAATAATGGAGATTAATATGAGTAAATTACTTATATGTGCTTTGATTGTTATAATGACAAAGATTATAAGTCCCTTGTAACAAGGTGATTCCTTAAATACAATAAAGCATTTATTGAATTGAATTGAATTGAATTAAATTTTTATATATTAAAATTCTTTTCTTTCTAGTTCCAATTGACTTTAATGAAAATAATAGTTAGTAATAAATGATTAATAGATAAAATAAGTCAATAACTTTGTGTTTAGGAACATGCTTTTATTAATTTTGGTAATACTATAACTCATTTTTGAGTGCTTTTGATTCTTTAATAATAGTGTAAACTTAAAAAATAATTATGTGAATGAATTAACAACTTTCATTTCTAAACATTTTCTAGAGTGTTTGAGCTGATTCAATACAAACTATATGCAAAATGTAATCAATATTTGAACTATATGTATTTTAAGTAATATATTCATTTAAAAATACAAATATATTAAATTGTTAAAATGTTTCTTATAATTTTTAACATAAAATAAAATAAAAGTAATTATTTAAGTTATAAATTAATGAATTGTATTTTTTTAATTAATCTGTTCTCTAAGTGTATTTAAATCAAACCTAAAACAGACTAAAATTATTATTTAAATACAAATAAATACCATTAAAAATCATTATTAAATGTAATTGCTGTTTGATATTATTCATTTTATTATATTTTCTTTAATTCTTGATTTTACTTCATATATTGATTGAATGAATCCTCTTCCTTTTTATTTGTTTATGATTAGTTCTTTAGTAATATGATAAGTTGACCTATATTCTTTTTTGAATAAATGATCTTTATATCTTCCAATTAACTTCCATACTTTTAAAACATACAACTATTAAGAATAAATTTATAAATTGTAGGATTCTGTGTAATCTTTTACTTTGAAATGAAATATTCAATTATTATAGATTATTTTACAACTAAATTTTAATATATTTAGAGAGGAAGCAAGACATGTTGTATATTTAACTTAAGTTAAATTATATANTTGATTAAAAGGATGAAGAGCAAAGACTGAAAAGGAAAAAAAAATTATTATAATTTGAGAAAGATTGAGATGAATAATTCCGAATGAGTTAAAAACAGAATACGATTATTTTTAAAAACTGGCAAAAGTTTATTTAAATTTGACATCATTTCAATTATAATTAATTCCATCCTATTTCAGATCATTCATTAGTTGTATGTACAGTTTTGACCATTTTTTTTTTTTGGTTGCACTTTACACAAACCCCTTTCTTCCCTTTAATTATGTGTAAAATAATTCATGGACTCCTCTGACATTGAAGAAATGACTTGAAAAGTTCTGCAAATATTTTCTAACTGATACTGCCATGTAGACAATGCCTTGACTTCTCATCTCTGTTGTTTATAATGATATACTTTTTGTGATTCTCTTAAACTGTACATGTAATTAATGGATGATACCTTCCTGTGTAATGAATTACTAATTTTATAATACTACTTTTACTTTTGAACGTGGCAAATTTTTGAAATACTGGCATAAAAATGTTGAATTTTATTAAAAAATTCAGTGGAAAAATATTTTAAATTAAATTAAAACATCTTAAATTTATGAGGACTCTTGTTTATGGTCCAGTGTTGTGTCATGAAGATATGGCCAACACATTCTTAATTAGAGAATTCTGACTGCTCAGGTTGCCAAGTTGTTGGTGACATATGTGGGGTGGTTTGGTAACAGAGACAAGAAGAGTGATTCTACAGGAAACCACTTTATTAAAAGAGTGGATTCTTACAATTTTCTATGGGCTTTCCCAATTCATACAACAGTCACTATTTTAAACTCAGTTCCCATGGGAAGGATTGGACCTGAAAAAAGGATTTGTAACATGGCTGGCTAAAGAGGATAGTGAAAAAAGAGAGATGGATGCCTCACTGGAGCTCCAGATAGGGTGAATATCCAGATCCAACACTGACCTTCAATTCACAGTATGACACCAGGCATCTGTGACAATGTGACTTCAGATTGTTGAAGTTTAGCGTTCACCAATATGTCTCAAGGAAGAGACATTGGAACTTTCATGAGAGACTGTGGAGGATGATCAAACATGATGCACTTAGAAAAGAACCTGTTGAAAGGAAATGGAGAAAAGATCCTTGAAAAAGAACTGTATGGAAAGGACAGATCTTCAAAGAATAACCTTGTGTTCTTCACACACTAGATTTTGTCTACTTGGTCCCTTGATCATCCATCCCAATTGCCCTCAGTTCCCCAGCCATGCCTTCTGTTTGGTCTCATATCTGTTTCCAGGGGTAATTCAAACCCAAATCAGGAAGTGGGAGAGATTTAATTCAATGCCAAGTTCCAATATCAATTGGAGATAGTTGATTTTAGGACTTACATTCTTTAAATGAGTTCCTTTGTCATGTAAATTTAAACAATTAGAAAATTCTATGTCCTTTTATAGTTTTTCTATTTCCTTGCAATTCAAAAACAATCCAAAATTTCTGCCTAAATTTTGAGGGTTTGGACCAAGTCTGGAGTCTCACAAATTTAATTATTAGTAAAACACACAAAATTTGATTATATTTAAATATATTGTTATTAAAAATTGAATATTAATTTGGAAATAATTTTTAGAATGAAAATAGGGTGAAACTTTTGTTGGAATTGGGTGAGAAATTACCAGAAACTAATGGAAAACATGAAGATTCATATATTAATAAAGCAAAGCAGGTAAATGAAAATTTTTTGTTCCAAATATCTCTGTAAGTAATTTTATATAAAGAGTATTTTCTTAAGATTTTTAAGGCAATATATTCTTTAATTACTTCTTTTGATCTGTGATGATATCAAAAAGTGATAAACTGAGATAATGAAAAGTTAAAAGCAACATAAAAATTTTATTGTTCAATATATAAACATTTATGTAAGTTTAGAGTAAAAAAGATTTCATGCTCTTTTTATTTTTAAATTGATTCTTTGAGTCTGAATCAAAGATAAAAATTAATGCTATTTAAGAAAAGATTAACATTATGTTTTAGTATTAATTTTACAAATGATTATAGTGTAATTTTCATCGTTGTATTTATAATAATTAATACAAATTGGAAAAAAATTATACAATTTTGAGATTTTCATTAATAGTACCCTAATCTGTAATTATTGTTATAATTATAGATAGTTATTGATATTATAACTAAAATGAAATGACAAACATTTCATCAAAGTAAAATAAAATTTGTTTTAATATAATTACTCCATTAAACTATTTTATACAATATTTAAAGTAAATTTTATTAATAAGTTTCAAAGTAAGTAAAATACATTAAATTATGTTGTAAGAAATGAGATATTGAAAATCAAGACATCATTTTAAATATTAAATCACTTATAAAGTTTTAATATAAACTCATAATTTTAGATTATTATTAGGATTTTGCTCTGAATAAAAGTTTAGGTTTTTTATCAAATTGAATTAGTTGTCATAAATTTATTTTGAAATTAGAATCAATTATTGATGTATCTGTGTAATAAGTTTTTTTATAATTTTTCATCAATATGATTATTCCTCAATTTTGACTAAACAATATTAAATTTTAAATGTAATATTACTTTATATGCAAATATAATTATTAAATAGAATTTTCATTGTAATGTTTCTATTATTTATATATGTAATATATTATAAATAATAGAAATATGTTATTTATATTTATTTAATTATTATTGCTATCATATTGTATATTTATTTTAAATAAGTACTAGAAAAATTTATTTTATTATTATTTTGTTTGATTTTTAGGATGCAGAAGATGGACTGAGGTCTTAATATATTTGTGATGATGGGTTATCTCATTAGGTAATATAAAATCTATATATTTTATTTCTTGCATTTTAAAGCATAAAATAATTTTCTAATAATAATAATTATTATTATTATATGTATTAAGTAGTTCAAAATAATAAATTACTAAATGCTTCTATTTATAAATAAAATTTAATTATTCCAAATTAAAACTGCTGTAAAATAATGGAACTACATAAACATACAATTTCTTAAAGATATTATATAATTTCCTGTCATTTGTTAAGACTATTAAAATTTGAGAATAAAAAGATGAAAATTTACAATCGTACTTTCTCTTTATATACAAAATTTTGAACAAGAACAATCCTAAAGATTAAGTGTGAAATTAAAATTACTTATAGAAGTCAATATCCAAAACTTTTGTACTCATATATTGAGGAAATGTAGTTATGTCACTCCATCCAACTTTTGTAGAGTTATGACAGCTAAAGTGTTAAATATATTAAAACACACAAGATGTAGTCCAGTTGTTTTTTGATCAGGGTATTGTGAAACAGTACTGAGAAGCACTATAACATTGCTTTTGTATATTATGAAAAGTATAAATAGTGCATTAACTCTGATAAAGAAGTAAGGGTGCTATAAGGAAAAAATATCAAATTGGGGATGCCACCATCAGAAAGGTTAAAAAACACTGACTTAGATTATATTGATAGATTAATTTTAAAATATTTTTCAGAAAAGATTTCTAAGAATTTATATTTTTCTGTTACATAGCAATGCATAGCACTGAGCACATATAACATAAATCAATTTTGATCTTATGTGATCAGTATCTCACTCTGCTGTATGTCAAAGCAGAACATAACCACTTTGTACAAGTATTAACAGTATAATAAATGAGTCACAGTTGAAATTTTATTTGTATGAGCTTTTTTTCAATATTATGTTAATATAGTTTTAATTTTTATCAATAAATTAGCATAAAATATATATTATGCCTTACAATATCTCTGTAATGTAAATACAGCTTTTTATTTCTTAACTGGGAATCAAAATACAGTAGATTCCACTTAATTGGGACATGTTGGGACTAATCAATTTTGGCCCAATTAAGCAGCTGCCCCAATTAAATGAAATAATAATAAATTCAAAAATAAAATATGTAATACGTAGGTAAATAAATAAGTAGGTAAAAAATAATAATTAGGTACCTATTTTAATGCTTTATTAAACCAAAATACAAAAAATATTTGTGGTATAAATTTGCCAGACTCATGACAATAGATAACTGATTTGCATTACTCTAGTGTCGTCAAATATTAGTAGTGACGTACACAAGGGTTGACCGTTCGATCTGTTCCTGATCAAATAATCTTTCCTTTTTCCCTTTTTAGTTAGAACATGTCAACATGTCCGGGTTCATTCAAAAGCCACCTTACAGCCTTTCTTTCAGCACAGTTTCCTTTACTTGAAGATGGGCTACTTCGGCAGGTGCGCCCATAGAATCTGACAGCTTCAGATGCTGGTCCCAACGATCAAATGGTTGCTGTCCAAGTCTAGACATAATCATGCACACAATACCTTCGAATGGAACTCGAGCTGTCTTCCAACTTGGTCAAAAGATCTCAAAAAATTGTCCAGGGAACTTTGTCCCTTTGCTTTTAAGGGGATTTTTCGGTCCAATCTGGAGCAGGGTTAGTAACTCACATTCAGGTCTGCCTCAGAGGGGATCCTGGTGTGATACATCCCACTATGCTGACCCCCTCTTAAAGTTATGAAATAAGATATTTTATATATACATATTTATATATCAAAAAGGGTTANTTTGATCGCGAGATTTGTGAGCTTTTGCGTTTTGATTCAAAAATAGTTTAATCTAAATATTGAATAATATAAAAATTAATGGAGAAGTTGCACCTGCTGACGTGGGTGCTGCTATGCTTTCAGCAGAGTTTTAAAAAATCATTGATGAGAAAGGCTATCATCCTAAGCAAGTTTTTAATTGGAAAAAGATGTCTTAGGAGACACGACAGTGAAAAAGGACACCAAGCTTTAAAACATGCAAAGACAGATTAACGCAGATTACTATGTGGCAACGTGGCCGGACACGTGATAAAACCTGGCATCGTTTGCCGAACAAAGAATTCTCGTGCTCTTAAAAGCAAATATAAAAAATATCTGTCTGTCTTCTGGCAGTATAATCAGGGCTGTGGAGTCGGAGTCAGAGTCGTGGAGTTTTGGTGTTTTAGCCGGAATCGGAGTCGTCAAAAAATCCGCCGACTCCGACTCCTTTTTACTTACCAACTTGTTATGTATATAAAACGGAAAAGTATTGGAATCGGGTCAAATTTGACCCTCCAAGTTTTTTGAAAATCTATACGTTTGGAGACCTCCCGAACCCCTCAAAAAAGTCAGTAAAGGGAAAAAATTTGCGCGCGCGTGTGTGTTGGCATCTAATTTGTTTAATTTCTTTATTTTTTGTTCTGAGATATTAAACAATATTTCAGAACAGGTAAAGTTTAAGAAACAAAATGTGGCACTGTAGCTTGCGTATAAAGGGGCATTAATACTATTAAATTTTGGTTCTTAATTAAAGGTCGACAGGGTGAAAACATAAAAGTGGTCATGTGTCATATCTCTTAATGAATATTTTACTCGTTATTAGCTTTCAAAATTTAAAAAAATAAAATAAAACTCATCTTTACCCTCAAAGTAAGCTTTTTTGCCATTTTATAATAGTACAGTAAAACCCATTAAGATGTTCTCGCTTAAGATGTTAGAATGTACATGGGGACATGATTTAGTTCAACCACTTTGACGCTAAATAACTAACTCCTGTGTTAAACCATCTGACTCCGATTATACCCAAAGCGGGACTCGAACCCACAACTCCTGCTTACTGTGTGGATTACCCGTTGCCAGTTATGCTACCCAGACCTTTGGTCTGATTTCCTCTTCCAGTATATATAAGCCTAATGTATAACTATTGATGGTTAATATGGTGCCTGCTGGGGACACACCCATGCCCTCAGCCAGAACTCAAGGCACTCAGTCGGCCATCGCATACCCCGGAAAGGCATAGATATACAGATACAAACATCTACCGAAACTCGATGCTTAGCAAATAGACACCCTTGATTGCCATAAATAATCGGGCTATAATTTGGAAATATTAATTATGAATTACAATTATTAATTATTTATTTGTAATTCATAATTAATATTTCCATATTATAACCCGATTATTTATGGCAATCATGGGTGTCTATAAATTAAAATTTTTACAATTATAAATATTTTTAATTGTTTGATAAAATGTTATTTATTTATGAATTTTGTAAAATAAATTTGTGAATTTTCTTTTCAGCCACAGTTGGACACATTTCCTCTCATTTCATTGTTCAACCATCTTTTGGAAAACTTCTTCCCTTTGCTTCATCATCTCTTGTAGTCTGATCATATTTGTAAAATGGAGAGTGATAAGTAAGAAATTGATTTTTATAAAATGGAATTCAATTATTTCATCATTCGTGTTTAAATTTTGGCCAAAGTAGTTTATACTGTTCAACTTTTCTTTTTTTATTGTTTTATTTTAAAATTAAGAAGAACTTCTATCTTTCCAACATTATATTTAATTGATGTCTTGCAAACTAAACTTATACCAATGCATTTTATTCTCAAAGCATTGAAGGGAACAATTTGTATAGAAGAAATTATCTATTAAAAACTTTGTATATGGGATGTATACTAAAGTAGCTGAATTGGAAGATAGATAGCAGCATTGTACTGTACAAAAGAATATAATATTACAGTTTTTAAGTGAAAATATATATGAAAACTTGTCTGTGAAGAAAGGATTATCCTAGATGTGCCTTTGAAAGAAAGTGACATTAACATCAATATTGAGGATGATATTTTATGGAAATATGTTGACTATGTACAATTAAGCTGCAGATGAGTTTATGAAGGAATCAAGAGATAATATGTATTTTCAATTGGTGCTTCACTGTGATGGCATTCATCTTTTTGAAACCTATTTGTGCATTCCTATTAAAATAATCCAAACTTTTCCAAGAGTTAGAGTTAAAATAATTGAATAACTCTTGTGATATAAAATTGTTGACTGCCATCCAAGCATCTAATGTGTGGTGTTGTTCTGTCAATATTGTTCAAATATCTTAAACTTGCTGAAAATGCATGAATTAGATTTGAATACTATTATACTCTAAAGGAAACTGTTTCTTCCTTCTCTAAAAAGTATATATATATATATGTATCTAAGTGTGTATGTGTATATTTACTTATTATATGTATATACACATGTACATATATATATGTACTTATATTATAATCTATCTGTTTCTAAATTTATTAAGATTTTTCACATTTTAAAATTTGAAATNTCCAAATTAAAACTGCTGTAAAATAATGGAACTACATAAACATACAATTTCTTAAAGATATTATATAATTTCCTGTCATTTGTTAAGACTATTAAAATTTGAGAATAAAAAGATGAAAATTTACAATCGTACTTTCTCTTTATATACAAAATTTTGAACAAGAACAATCCTAAAGATTGTTCTTGTTCAAAATTACTTATAGAAGTCAATATCCAAAACTTTTGTACTCATATATTGAGGAAATGTAGTTATGTCACTCCATCCAACTTTTGTAGAGTTATGACAGCTAAAGTGTTAAATATATTAAAACACACAAGATGTAGTCCAGTTGTTTTTCGATCAGGGTATTGTGAAACAGTACTGAGAAGCACTATAACATTGCTTTTGTATATTATGAAAAGTATAAATAGTGCATTAACTCTGATAAAGAAGTAAGGGTGCTATAAGGAAAAAATATCAAATTGGGGATGCCACCATCAGAAAGGTTAAAAAACACTGACTTAGATTATATTGATAGATTAATTTTAAAATATTTTTCAGAAAAGATTTCTAAGAATTTATATTTTTCTGTTACATAGCAATGCATAGCACTGAGCACATATAACATAAATCAATTTTGATCTTATGTGATCAGTATCTCACTCTGCTGTATGTCAAAGCAGAACATAACCACTTTGTACAAGTATTAACAGTATAATAAATGAGTCACAGTTGAAATTTTATTTGTATGAGCTTTTTTTCAATATTATGTTAATATAGTTTTAATTTTTATCAATAAATTAGCATAAAATATATATTATGCCTTACAATATCTCTGTAATGTAAATACAGCTTTTTATTTCTTAACTGGGAATCAAAATACAGTAGATTCCACTTAATTGGGACATGTTGGGACTAATCAATTTTGGCCCAATTAAGCAGCTGCCCCAATTAAATGAAATAATAATAAATTCTAAAATAAAATATGTAATACGTAGGTAAATAAATAAGTAGGTAAAAAATAATAATTAGGTACCTATTTTAATGCTTTATTAAACCAAAATACAAAAAATATTTGTGGTATAAATTTGCCAGACTCATGACAATAGATAACTGATTTGCATTACTCTAGTGTCGTCAAATATTAGTAGTGACGTACACAAGGGTTGACCGTTCGATCTGTTCCTGATCAAATAATCTTTCCTTTTTCCCTTTTTAGTTAGAACATGTCAACATGTCCGGGTTCATTCAAAAGCCACCTTACAGCCTTTCTTTCAGCACAGTTTCCTTTACTTGAAGATGGGCTACTTCGGCAGGTGCGCCCATAGAATCTGACAGCTTCAGATGCTGGTCCCAACGATCAAATGGTTGCTGTCCAAGTCTAGACATAATCATGCACACAATACCTTCGAATGGAACTCGAGCTGTCTTCCAACTTGGTCAAAAGATCTCAAAAAATTGTCCAGGGAACTTTGTCCCTTTGCTTTTAAGGGGATTTTTCGGTCCAATCTGGAGCAGGGTTAGTAACTCACATTCAGGTCTGCCTCAGAGGGGATCCTGGTGTGATACATCCCACTATGCTGACCCCCTCTTAAAGTTATGAAATAAGATATTTTATATATACATATTTATATATCAAAAAGGTTAAAAACCAATGGAGTCAGTTATTTTTATATCTTAAAATTGCTTGTATTGTAATATACTAAAGAAATTTTTGTCTTTTGATACCAACTTATGAGGAGCTAAAAACTTTTTAAAACCATTATAAAAATTTCAAAATTAAAAATTCAAATGGCACATTTTTAAATAGCAGAAAAAATTTTTCTTTAAAAAGCTATATTACCTCTAATGGAAGTTGTAAAGGCTAGTACCTGTCTGTACAGCTCCTATTTTGTCGAAAACCAGCCTGCTCTACCGGAATGTTTTCAAAAATTGTATTATTTAGTTACTGTCTGACAGCATGGCCTAATCTATAAATTGCTTTGAGTGATACCCTGCTTAAAAATAGTTAAAATAATTGACAAGATGTTAAATAACTGACTCTTTCAAGTCATCCTGGGAAATTCGAGAAGTAAGATAAGAAAACTAAATCAGATAATGGCCTGCCTCGTGGATCTGTTCTGGCACCACTGCTTTTTAGTCTTTACATAGTTGACTTGCTTCAAACAAATGTAAGGAAATTTGGATATGCAGATGATTGGGTGATTGCCATGAGACATAAAGACCTACTAATAACTGAGAAGACCTTAACAGAGGATTTATCTACCTTAGGACAATATTTTTGCCAGTGGAGACTCCAATTGAGTACGACAAAAACTGAAGCTACATGCTTTCACCTTAATAACAAATTGGCAAATGAAGAACTAAAGGTTTATTTTGAAAATAATCTACTGAAATATAATAAGAACCTGAAATATCTTGGTGTCACTTTGGACAGGACTCTGTCGTTTAAAACACATCTGATGAATCTTGCTGACAAGGTCAATACCAGAAACAACATCTTCCAAAAGTTATGTGGAACTACATGGGGCTCTTCAATGTCTACCTTATGGATTTCTGCTCTTGGCTTAATTTTCTCTGTAGTGGAATACTGTGCACCGGTATGGATGAACAGTGCTCACATTAAAAATCTAGATGCCCAATTAAATAATACCCTATGCATCATAACAGGTACTATTAAATCTACTCCTATTGATTGGTTACCTGTTTTGAGATATATTCCCTGCCTGTACTCCGAAGGGATGATGCTCTGCGTAGGGAATATAGGAAAATATTGTGCAGTCCACACTTAAATCAAGCCATACCTCTTTCTTAAGAGCTAAGTCCTTGAATTCCAGCAATTTCAAATTTCAACCTTATTGAATCTTGGAAAAGGCTATGGGTCAATGTCTCTCCAATGGAAAGTCAACAACTCTTTTGTATCACAAAACGATCACCTGGTTTTGAATTATCCAGAAATTTTTGAAGTGTGTTGAATAGAATTCGGACATAACATAGTATATACAGAGACAATCTTTTTAAATGGGAAAAAGTAGCATTCCCACAGTGTGATTGTGGTGCTGAAAGATAGACTATACGTCATATTTTGGAAGATTGTCCAATAAGATCCTATCCGGGAAAACTGAGTGACTTCCTGATTATGACTGAAAGTGCTGTAAACTGTTTTTTGACTTAGATTTACATTTGTGATTTGTGTTCTTTTTACTAACTAGATGTGTAGCCATACACTAAATAAATAACCTCTAATAGAGGTAATATAGCTTATTAAAGAAAACAAACATGTTTTTTTTACAACAGTTAAAATGTAGAATTTAAAAACACAAGTATTTATATATGTGATTAAAATAATTTAATAATAAAAATGTAATCTGAGCTTATTATATATTAATTGAGTTTATATCAGGGCGTCGGAGTCGTGGAGTTTTGATGTTTTAGCTGGAGTCGGAGTCATCAAAAAATTCGCCGACTCCGACTTCTTTTTACTTACCAACTTATTATGTATATAAAACGGAAAAGTATTGGAATCATGTGTAATTTGACCCTCCAAGTTTTGTTTTGCAAATCTACACATTTGGAGACCTCCCGAACCTCTCAAAAAAGTCAATAAAGGGGAAAAATTTGTACGCGTGTGTGTGTTGGCATCTAATTTGTTTAATTTCTTTATTTTTTGTTCTGAGATATTAAACAATATTTCAGAACAGGTAAAGTTTAAGAAACAAAATGTGGCACTGTAGCTTGCGTATAAAGGGGCATTAATACTATTAAATTTTGGTTCTTAATTAAAGGTCGACAGGGTGAAAACATAAAAGTGGTCATATGTCATATCTCTTAATGAATATTTTACTCGTTATTAGCTTTCAAAATTTAAAAAAATAAAATAAAACTCATCTTTACCCTCAAAGTAAGCTTTTTTGCCATTTTATAATAGTACAGTAAAACCCATTAAGATGTTCTCGCTTAAGATGTTAGAATGTACATGGGGACATGATTTAGTTCAACCACTTTGACGCTAAATAACTAACTCCTGTGTTAAACCATCTGACTCCGATTATACCCAAAGCGGGACTCGAACCCACAACTCCTGCTTACTGTGTGGATTACCCGTTGCCAGTTATGCTACCCAGACCTTTGGTCTGATTTCCTCTTCCAGTATATATAAGCCTAATGTATAACTATTGATGGTTAATATGGTGCCTGCTGGGGACACACCCATGCCCTCAGCCAGAACTCAAGGCACTCAGTCGGCCATCGCATACCCCGGAAAGGCATAGATATACAGATACAAACATCTACCGAAACTCGATGCTTAGCAAATAGACACCCTTGATTGCCATAAATAATCGGGCTATAATTTGGAAATATTAATTATGAATTACAATTATTAATTATTTATTTGTAATTCATAATTAATATTTCCATATTATAACCCGATTATTTATGGCAATCATGGGTGTCTATAAATTAAAATTTTTACAATTATAAATATTTTTAATTGTTTGATAAAATGTTATTTATTTATGAATTTTGTAAAATAAATTTGTGAATTTTCTTTTCAGCCACAGTTGGACACATTTCCTCTCATTTCATTGTTCAACCATCTTTTGGAAAACTTCTTCCCTTTGCTTCATCATCTCTTGTAGTCTGATCATATTTGTAAAATGGAGAGTGATAAGTAAGAAATTGATTTTTATAAAATGGAATTCAATTATTTCATCATTCGTGTTTAAATTTTGGCCAAAGTAGTTTATACTGTTCAACTTTTCTTTTTTTATTGTTTTATTTTAAAATTAAGAAGAACTTCTATCTTTCCAACATTATATTTAATTGATGTCTTGCAAACTAAACTTATACCAATGCATTTTATTCTCAAAGCATTGAAGGGAACAATTTGTATAGAAGAAATTATCTATTAAAAACTTTGTATATGGGATGTATACTAAAGTAGCTGAATTGGAAGATA